CAGCGGGGGGCAAAGGAAAACCCCCCCCCAAAAAAAAAAAAAAAAAAAAAAAAAGGAAAGAAAAACCCAAACATTAAACTGCAAAGCTCCGTGGCCATCATCTGGGGTATGTGGAGGTATCATCTGAGCTCCATGGGACCTGGGCAGCCCACCCCCACCGTTTGCAGCACACCCTCTTGCAGCCTCTCTCTTGTGCTGGCTCCACTTAGTGACTACAGCTTTCCTCTGAATATGTCCCATGTTCCTGGAATTTCTAAAACTTTGAGTTTTTGTTGAAACTTAGGCTCCATCTTTACAGCTTCATACCTTGGTGAGGAGCTTCATGCAGAAAATCTGACCCTGGTGCATACTACCTGGCCTCCTGGGCTTTTCTCTGGAGCCTTGGTGCAAGCCACAAGCATTTTGTGTGTCTGAAGAATCAGCCCCATATGGACAATGCCAGGTCCTGCTACCTATTGAGATGTAACCAGGGACCCTTGGACCATGGCTGCAGTGGCCTCTGGGTACTTGTGAAGCTGAAGGGGGTAGGGGACAATGGTATGGTCACTTGAATGGAAATGTCCCTAGAGACTCAAGTATTTGAACACTTGGTCCCTAGTGGTTTGCACTGTTTGGGGAAGGTCATGAAACTTTAGGAGTTGCAGCCTTGCTGGAGGAAGCAAGTCACGGGGGTGGGGGGTGGGGGGTGGGCTTGGAGAGTTCTTAGCCTTGCCCTTCCAGTTTGCTCTCAGCTTCCTCCTCCTGCCACCATGCCTGCATGCGGCCATGGCTCCCCTACCCTTGTGATCTCCCTCTGGAGCAATCGTAAGCCAAAATAAACTCTTCTCTGTTAAGTTGCCTTGCCATGGTGTTTCATTACAGCGACTGAAAAGTAGTGAATGGGGATACTTCCAAAGGCATCCATCCCTGTTTGAGCAGGGAACAGGCGAGGCTCTCTTAGTTCAGACTTTGCATTTTCATACCCTGGGACCTTCAGTGGGAGGGGTCTCGCCCCCAAGGCACCTTTCCTCTTGTCCCCCTGAGCTTCTCTTAGTAGATACAGCTGCTGTGTTTTCCATACCTGCCTCGTCCACACCTTGAACTGTGTTTGTGCTCCTTCTTTGCCAAACTGCACTTTGTCATTTCTTTCTGCTTCATGTTTTGTTCTGAGTAGGCCACTGTAACCTGACTAAAAGCAGCCAATGGGAATCATCCCGCACAGCTTGCATGCTACAACGTCTGAAGTTTTCTCCATCAAATAAATTGGTCCATTATTTTAAAATGGAGACTCGTGGAATTTTCAGGACCTGGGCAGAATGGAGGCAGATTCTTTGCCACAGTGTAACATGAATGACCTCTACTCCACTTCCTGTAGAGACTTGTTATCCTATGAAACCTCATAAGCACTGCTTTTTTTTTTTTCTCCCTGCATCCCCAGCTGGTATGGAAATTACTATGTAGACCAGGCTGGACTTGAACTCACAGAGATCCACCTGCCTTTGCCTTGGAGTGCTGGGATTAAAGGTGTGCACCGCCACACCCAGCATGAGTAGTGCTTTTTGTTACTGTTTTTTTGGTTTCTTTAAAAAATTTTATTATATATTTTTTAAAATATTATTTTCATTTTATGTGTGAGTGTTATGCCTGCATGTAGGTAAGTGCACCCATGTCCCGCAATGCCGGGGGAGAACAGAAGAGGCTGTCAGATCCCCTGGGACTAGAGTTATGGACAGTTGTTAGCTGCCATGTGGGTGCTGGGATTCAAGCCCTGGTCTTCTGTCAGTGTTCAGTACAGTCAGTGTTCAATACAGTCAGTGTACAGTCAGTGTT